CTGACTGTAAGTCTATTCTTACGCTTTTGTGGAAAAAGATTTTTACTTACATTTATTCGTCTCGCAAACACGTGTGCCGTACGTGCGAAGGAGGGTAAGGCCGGGTCGTGTGATCATTAAAATCATATCCATTTGAGTGTATGTTTGATAAGTGGTTGTCGTTAAATATCAAGTCAAAAGTACGCGACTCATGAAAGATGTTGTGTTACTATAGAAACACATCATTCAATAAATAAAAATAAAGTTACGACATATCGGCGCCAGTATTTCGCCGACCAAACAGTCAAACGAGAAAAACAACACAAGAAGTGATGAAGAGTTTGAGAGACGAATAAATGTAAGTAAAAATCTTTTTCCACAAAAGCGTAAGAATAGACTTACAGTCAGTGTCTGTGAAGAAAGCGAAAGTGATTGAGAATTATATATTCTGTAGTGTAAAAGTCAAAGCACCAGAATTTCTGTATATCATATACAGCACACAGAATATATATAATGTGGTAGAATGTGAAGCGTAAAACATCACGATTAATATTCTGTGTATTAATATGTGGCAAGACTAATGCGAAAACTTATCTCATTCGCACAGAAAACTTAATCGACAATTACTTCAAACATTATGTGATAATAATAATAATAATGTGTTAATAAGAATTGACATTTGAATTACTCGTTCATATGAGACGCTATAATGAATTACTTTTTTATGCAAACAATTCAATTGTTGTTAATAATAATGAGAATATGTTTTCTATGTTATGACATGATTAAAGTGATCCTCAAGAAAGAGGAACTCCACCAACGAATCAGCGCTTACTTCGATAACATGGATGAGGAGAAAGTGTATACACTTAGTGTGATGTCAATCGCCATCGGTTTAATGGTACCCATAGTATTCACATTCATATACAACTATTTCATAGTACACGAGAATCTGATAGGAGTGATAATAATGGCAATATTCCTCACGGTTTCACTCGTTGTTAGTTTAGTGCAAAATTATGCCTCATTTTGGACATCATTTTACCAAATATTAACTGAAACACTGCTTTCGATCGTTGAAATAATGTTTGCCATTGTTTTGCTATTTTTGATTCGCATTAAACGACACGAAAAATATATTAAAAGTTTTGAACAGAGATTCTCGACATCTGTTTGACGGACGAAAAAGTGTTTTCCTTTAGTTATATATAAATCTGTTTGACGTTTGGCTTCAAAACGATTGATTGTTTGCGAAATTTGGTTTAAAACAAAAAAAACTGATCGATTCGTTTGACTGTATTTTCAAATTGATTTTTTTTCAGAAAAATACATTTTTTCTCCAACACGTTTCAATCGCCAGAATAAATGAACCATGTATTTTAATAATTTATTATATCAACTCAATAAAGTTAGATTCCGTGGAAATGTTATGCTTAACAAACATTTATTCAATTTATATGCCTTTCAATGAAATTGCATATAAATATTGAATATCAAACACAAGACTGTATTGTTTATACTGTATTAACCAATTATTTAATTGTTTGAATTTTATTATAACAGCTATTTATTAAATGCAAAATTACTGTTCAGACCATTAAGTCGGGGCAGCTATGGGTGCGGCGGCGATGACGGGTGGGGTCACAACGACCGGAGCGGGTGTTTTGGAGGCTTTGGGTTTGTTTTTAAATTTCATTTTGGCCGCTTTGTACTTCTCTTTCAACGAATTGTAAACCACTGCAGACTTTTCCGCGGCCTTAACGGCGCTATCCCTGGCCTTATTTCCCATCCATTCCTTGGTTTTGTCTGAAATAAACGGTTTTTTCGTCTTCGGAGGGGGTGTTGTCGTTGTTGAGGGAGTGGTGGTCGAGAAGTCATAGCTGTAAGTGTTTGACTCGTCGTACAAACCCGAATCCAAATCCCCCAGATCTAGAGAGCCATACATCCGAATATTGTCCGGTAGTTCCTCTTCTTGTGATTTACGCGATTTCTTCTTACTTTTGGGCTCTTCTTCTTCTTCTTCTTCCTCTTCCGTTTCAATCTTCACTTTCTTAGGTTTGCGTTTGTAATGTGTTTTGAGTTCTTCGCTGGATGTGAGCCGCTGTCCAGCCGTCCGATAACTAATTGTATTGTCTTTCGGTAATCCATTGCTGTGTCTCTCGATTGGATGCGGAAGTCTATAGCCGTTGTTATTATTGCGATTATTTTGGTGTTGGCTATAATGGCTATAATGAGGCTTTACATGAGATGGATATTCATTGTGTATGAGATTGTATTCGTGTCCATAATGTGGATAATTATGCCCAAAATGTCTTCTGTCGTAATAGTCATGTGTGTAATAATTTGGTTTGCATTCAATCCTAAAAATAAAATAATGATTTTACTAAACAAATAAGATTTATATATTTCTTACCAAACAATAAACATAAAGAATAATTGCAAAACAAAATATGGATTTGTAATTAACATATCAATGATATACTGTATCTTTTATAGTAGTATTATTGTTATGATAGAAGGCATACATGTTTTATGACATTCAAAAACATAAGGTAATTATTATGAAATATTATATAATTTAATGAATTATTGCTATCGTATAAAAATTACTTATAAAAGATTACTTTTTGCTTGTTTTTGACATTTTGTGTATAAAATTAAAAAATATGTAAAATTTTAAAATTAAATTATAAAAACTTTTACATTAGTTTCCAGTGTTTTAATGCAATTTAGGGCCATATCTATGGTTACCAACAAAAAACTCTTATTCAGTACTGCATTCACTTTTAGTGCCCATTAAAAGCAATCAATTAATTTTTCACTGAAATCGCGGCTCAATTGCTTTGATTTTCATATATTTTAATTTAAATAATTATTCAAAAACATTCAGATGCATTTATATAAATTATATTTTAATTTATTCAATTCAAATATCCATAAATTATATTTTAACAAAAGGCTTAAGAAGAGAATCTGATAGAGAAAGGAGGAGAGAGAGAGAGAGAGAGAGAGAGAGAGAGAGAGATCGTATGGAAAAGTTATAACTTATAAGTATAATGAAATGAAATATGATATTGATTTAGAAGTCCAGAAATTTGTTTCATTTGAAACTCAACTATAATAGTGAATAAAATAGTAATTAATGCCCAAAACATACAAGACTTCAATTTTCTAAAGTCCTGAAAGTGTTGTGACTTTTATTGCTTTATTATAATTAGATTTTGCGTTAAACAATGTTAGCCATTGATATATAGAGAAGTCCACTAAATCTAATATAAAGCACTTAAGAATGCGATATTCAGTACATCTCGAAAGTAATTACAAATATTTTTATTTCTCCCTAGACTTTGGAAGATTGCATAAAATATATATTTCATGCATATATTAATTATCACAAACACTAATATTATGATCAATTCGTAAATTTATTTAAAAATAAAACAAACTCTCGTTAAATATTGCATAATTAATGTGCTTTTTTGTGAGTATTAGAATAATATAAATATTTTTAAAGTTTTTATTAAAAGCATTTGAAAATTGTTTATTTTTGTAAAAATTCTTTATATAAGAATACATAGCAATAAAAATAGTAATCTTAAATCAATGCTATATTTAATGCTTTTAGGTATTATTTAATAAATTAAATATAGCATTTATATTCATAATTAAAAAAATAAAATACAAACATAATTATATACTAGAATTGATATCTAAATGTAAATATAGATGTGATTAGCAAATAGTAATGTGAAAGTAGATGGAAATCAATGACTTGGGATTTGAATGCAGACTAGAATTGAAGTCAATTCAATTATTCACAGCCATATAACACACACTCGTTTCCGTATTCAACCGGAATTCAGTCAAACTTTGACCAAATGCTATAAATATAGAGTCAATGAATATAAAAATCAATTCTCATCGTTAAGGGGAAAGTGAGAAACAGTGAGCACTAGTCGGAAGTGCAGTCTCTCGACAGTTTGTCCCAATCCTTTCCGGCACTCATTATTCCCTCCTTTTGTTCAATTTATCGATAAAAGTCACTCATTATTGTTATATAAAACTTTTTTTCTTGACATCTATATTAAATCTATACTTTATGTGAAGTTCAATG